AAAAAAAGTGAATCAAATAGACCATTACGGCAAGGCTGGGATGGTCCATTTGGTAAAGTAAATTACTGTTTTTCTTGAGACAATGGACTCAATGACTTGGCATATACTAGAGTTATCACACACAGATACATACCTGGAAGTTTTCCCCAAAAGTGACCCTGGTCTGTGCCATCCTCACATGTTCGATTTTCGGAGGGGTCATTAACACCTCAACCTAATAAAACAAATGCATAAAGTATGTTATTGTAAATAACAGCAAACCTTGGTTCATATTTCTTATCAGTCAGCTACATATTGGTGAAAGTTATGAAAATCCACTTTTAGTATTCATCACTGACACAACAGCTGCTTTAGCTTTACTCAGCCCACATTAAAAAAACAAAACAGTGAGGACAGACCTCACCTTTAATGGAAGGCACAGTGTTTTCGAACATTAATAGTTATCAACAAGGAAGCGATACTAATGAGCTTCCAAGGAGTTGGCAACAAAATGAACTGGCCTCATATTGCTCTGACTTGTTATTACCTGGAAAAGCTCCATGTCCTCTCCATTGGGTCGCTGGAAGACACACAGATAACTTCCACCATCCAGCTCAGTTAACTGAAGAATCCTTAGGGTCCCATTACGGAAAACTTTAATTGGTCTCTCTGGACTGGAGGCAGATGGGGGAGAGAAAAGGCACTGAGATTAAAGCAGTCTGGTTTAAAGGCAACCCAAACATTTTGAGTAATCTCTTTGTTAGTGTTGTACTGGTTCACAAAATGGGACATTTCAGTTACCTGTATCGATGATCCAGGATCGTTTTGGATGGTAGTTGCCAGATGGTCCCTCTCGTGGAGTCAGTAGACTCCGGACAATGGAGGTAAACAGCAGAACCATACATAGCTGAGACGGTGTGTTGACGGGATGGGGTAGCATGCCGGTGTGTTGGAGGAATGGGAAGAGGAGGAGGAGGTTGGCGAGAGAAGGTAGAGGAATCTGCTCTCACATCCAGCTGGATCGTTCTTTTGGCAATTCCCACAGTGTTACTGGCCAAACACTCATACCTGTGAGAGACTGATCACAGCTTAGTGACATCTTTTAAACAACTCAGCTGTCACAGAAGAACATAAGAACAACCATATTGGAATTTACTCATAAATCTGTGCTGCTTGGAATGCATGATTTTTAAAACCTGCTAATGGTTGATCAATAATGTTATTTTAAACAATCCTGTATGGCATGGAACATAAATAAGAAAACTGCATGCCAATCCCTATGTCACGGGAATTTAAAACAATTTATATGACTTATGAAAATAGGTAGAGCCAAGATAGCTGCATTCATACGTACAATTATTTAATTATTTTGAAACCGTCTAAAAGAAATGGCCATCTCTTACCTCCCACCATCAGATGGCAGAACATTCTTGATGAACAGCGTCCCATTTGGGAAGACAAACAGCCTGCGTCCCAGAAACTGTGAGGGTTTGACTTGGACACCTGCTGGGAGCGTCCACTTGAGAGCAGGTGGTGGTTCACCCTTCACAGAGCAGTGAAGATAGACACTTCTGCCTGGTTGGATAGAGATTTATTGGTTTAGAAGGGTTGTGATTCTATGAACGTTTCAGCCATGTCTTTAAAAACACTTTCAATGTAGATGACAATATTTTTTTGTTGTGTGAATTCAAATTACTGGAAAATCTCTGCTTCTGTATCATACCTGGAGCAATGATCACACTATCCAGTGCTTCTTCGCTTATGCTTGGAGGCAGAGCTGCTACGTGCAGATGATAAGTAATTGTATCTGCACCTGCTGCATTGCTTGCGATACATTTATAGTTCCCTTTGCTGGAGAAATTAGCAGAATGAATGTGAAGGGTCCCATTCTGAAGCAGAGACATTGGAGAGAGGATAGTGGAAAGAGTCCCGGCATCACGAACAAATGTTTTGTCTGGGAGAATCCAGGAAATCTGGGCTGGTGGTTTTCCAGAGGCCAGGCAGTCCAGAAACACATTTTTTCCTAAGTAGACTGATATCTCTGTGGACTTGGGTGGTTGAATCTTGGGTGCTTCCGTTTGGACAGCTAAGGTGATGACCATCCGATCTGATCCAAACCTGTTCTGGGCTGTGCAAAGGTACTGTCCTCGATCCTGAAGCTGGATGTTTTTAATAACAAAAGTTCCATTTTTGAAGACTTCAAAGCGGGTACCGTGCTTGGTGTTAGCTGGGATAGTGGCACCTGAGGAGAGACCAAACCATAAAGGCTTCAAAGAATTTCTGCTAGTAGAAAAAAAATAAATGGCAGACCTATTTAATACCAGACCAGAGCTGAAAGTCGAGCATATGGTAAATTGTGCCTTACCTGTTGAGACTTTCGTCCAAGCAACATTGGGTTCAGGATTCCCGGTTGCTTTGCACGGCAGGAGGACATCACTCTCTGCCAGCACTGACACGCTTGCTGTGGTAACTGTGGTAATGCGAGGTTTAGCCCCACCACCACCTTCAAACATCCATCGGAAAGGAGGTGCAGCTGTAGGATGGCGGGAGCTAATTCGTCCTGGTATTAAATTAATCAAAGCATCAGTATTATCAGAATTAATTTCTAAACAACATAACATGTAATATAATATAATATAATATAATATAATATAATATAATATAATATAAGATAATATAATA